AGAGTGCTGGTGCCGCGCAAAACAACAAATTCCAGGATTTTGATGGATGGTGCCATGGCAGTTAAAGTGGTCTCGAAGTGCATTATTTCTACAAGGTAGATACAGCCTTACACTTCATATTTCAGCCCTTCCAAACTTCCATCGGCCACTGCACCTGGCCCAGAAGATTGCCTCCATATCAGTTGGTTGGACCAATGTACCCTTCAACCCAACGCAACCCACAGATTTTGGACACATGCCTTTTCTGGCTGCCATCTGAGGGATTCTGGAAGTTGTGGTCCAAAACAGAATTTTTTGCAAGACCTCAGTCTCACTCAGTATAAGGCACCACACCATTTCTGTATTTCTTCATCTGAACGAAACCAAAGAAAAGGAGCTGAGGAGTCACATCTTAATATATTCGCCTCCCCTTCTCCCCCGCACCACCATGAAGAAATATTTCATTTCCAAAACAAGAGAGGGCTGCAGCCCTTTGGATCCAAGATTTTGTAAGCCGGCAAGAAGGTCAGCCAAAAGGGGCACTCCAATGCAAAGCACTTTTGTTGTTACACAAAAGCCAAACATCAATTCGACACATTTCCATCCGTTTAAACCACCGCCATCCTTGGAGCTGGAAGGCCTCATCTGGAACAGGTTAATCCAGACCTCCCTCCTTGTTATGCTCTCCTTAGGTATTACATCTTTTTTTCCCCCTCCAGATCAATCATCCTCCAATCCTTGAGAACCAAAAAGATTTCTTTTTTTAAAAAAAAAGAAAAGATCTGAAGTGACTACGTAAGTGACTGTAGCTTATGGAGATCAGGGGTGATGTCGGATGGGAATTTTGGGGGGGTCTTCAAAGCCAGTGTTTTAAAAACCATCTTTTAAAGACACTACAGGAGCCCCTTTACTGTTTAACCTTAAAACCACAGCCTTTTCTTTTCTATTCAAAACCAGAATTGGATTTGTGTCTACTTCCATGGGGGGGGGGGAATGTCTCTCTCTAGATTTGGGATTTTGGGCAGTCCATATGGCTCCCCAAAGATTCCTAAAGGAAGGGAATAACCTCCCAGACCCAACAGAGCCCCCCATCTATGTTTAAAGGCAAGTTCCCCATCCATATACCTCTGCTCCTCTTTCTTTCTTCCAATTCTGCCTCTGCCCAAATTCGGTAAATACACAAAAAGGAAAGGTGGTCAATGGGTAGCCTATGGACCGTATGTGGCCCTCATGGCAACTTCTGTGGTCCCTAGAGAGCCTCAGTGGAAATATGGAAGGGGGAAAATAGGCTTTCTGGGGTACATTCAAACTACAGAATTGTAGTGCTGTTATCTCACTTTAATTACAATTACAATATCCTATGAAATCCTGGAGTTTGTAGCTAAGAACTCTAAATGTGTATTCATGTGCCTTCAAGTCACCTGTCTACCTATGGCGACCCCATGAATTTCAGAGGTTTTTCTTAGGCAAGGAATACTCAAGAGGTGGTTTTACCAATTCCTTCCTCTGAAATACGGCCTACAGCACCTGGGATTTGCTGGCCGTCTCCCATCCAAGTAGCAACTAGGGATGATCCTGTTTACCTTCCAAGATCAGACAGGATCTATGCCATTAGGGAATTGAGGCTCTGTGTTATACTGTGTGTGTTCGTGCCTTAAAGTCACCTGTTGACTTTTGGCAACCCCATGAACTTCAGAGGGTTTTCTTAGGGAAGGAATCCTCAGAGGTGGTTTTGCCAGATCTCTCCCCTGAAATACAATCTACTACAGCACCTGGCAATTGTTGGCAGTCTCTCATCCAAGTACCAACCATGACTTAGCTGGGATTGGCAGTTTCAGGAGGGAGAACTCTAAATTGCTGTTAGCTGCCCTCAAATCATCCTTGATCCATGGTGATCCTATAAATAAGGCATCTCTAAGAGACCTTATCTTCAACTTCTCAGTTTCGGCAGACTTGGGACCATGTCCATCTGGCTTGTGGGCTTCTTCTCTTTCTACTGCCTTTTACCTTTCCAAGTATTGTCATCTTTGCTAGTTAATCATGTCTTCTCATGGTGTGGCCAAAGTACGACAGCCTCAATTTAGTCATCTTGGCTCCTAGGGAGAGTTCAGGGTTGATTTGTTCTAGGACCCATTTGTTTGTCATGCCTTCTCATAATGTGTCCGAAGTACAATGGCATTAATTTAGTCATCTTGGGTTCTAGAAAAAGTCCAGGCCTTATTTGTTCTTGGACCCATTTACTTGTCTTTTTACCCATCCATGGTATTTGCAGACTATCAATTTGGAAATTCAGTGGGATCTTGGCATCCACTGGAGTTTAGTTCCAGAACCACCATGGATGCCAAAATCTGTGGATGCTCAAATCCCATTGCATACAATGGAATGGTAACATGGTATCCCTTATATAAAATGGCAAAATCAAGGTACACTGTTGGGAATTTATATTTTTCAAAAGTATTTTTAAGCCAAGGATGGTTGAATCCACGGCTAAGGAATCTATGGATACGGAGGGCTGACTGTACTAATTTTCTTGATGCAAATATTTTGGTTTCTTTCACACACTCAAAAATGTGGGAAGAAAAGACTAAGAACTGCTCCAGACAAGTAGTCTGAACCCTTCTGCAGGTAGTCCTGCGTACTTCAAAGCCTTAACCAGAAACGGTAGTTGCAACGTTCCTCCAAGTTGAATCCACACAAACACTTACTGTTCCAGGGCGGCGGGATTCAGCCTCAGAAGCTCTTTGAAATTATGGATGTTTTTCCAAAATCCTCTCTCCCTAAGTTTGTCTTGGGATGGTTTTGAGTTTTGTTAATTTTTTTTAAAAAAGCCTTCTTCCACCACCACCGGCTCTCCAAAACAGGCCCTTTCTCCCCCTTCTTTCCCCTTTTGAGACTGGCAGATTTCTCCTCCAAAAAGTAAATTGCTGAGTTTGGATTTGGCACCATCGCCCAGGAACGGAGGCACCTTTGATGAATCCCAAACGGGCGGACTTCAATCGCCGCACATTTAATAAGTTATTTCCGTGGAAAAACCTTGGTCACATAGTTTGGAAGCAAAGGTTATAAACGCCTCCCACTCATCGGAGCAACGTAAAAGAGGTGGCGAGGGAAGAGGAAAGATCCCTCCTTTACTGTAACTTCTCTCAACAGGTTCCCAGAAGGATCCAGACTTTCTCCTAAGCTCCTGACTTCATTTTCAGGCATCAAAAATAAGCTGCAGCCAGCTTCTCCTTCCACCTTCAGACAAGCAAATCAAACTTGCTAAATTCCCCCCTCCACCCCGCATAAATTTAGACTCCTTTTCTGATGGGAAACTGGTCAGCTTTAGGAGAGAATTCAGGTTGAGTCTCCCTTAGCCAAAATGCTTGGGGCCAGAAGTGTTTGGGATTTATATTATTGTTGTTGTTATTTTGGATGTTGGAATATTTGCATATGCATAATGAGATATCTTGGAGATGGGAACCAAGTCTAAACACAACATTCATTTATGTTTTGTATACACCTTAAGGTATAGTCTATCCTCTGTATCATAGGGTTTTCTTGGAAAGTTTCTGCAGGTGTGTGTGTGTGTGTGCCATTGGCTTTCAAGCAAAGATTCGAACCTTGGTCTATAGAGTCCTAGTCAATGCTCAAACCACTTTGTCATGCTGGCTCTCTCAAACTAGATTAGACCCATTGAATCAATAGGATTTCCCACCTGCTGACCCACCATTCAACAGTGGATTCAATGGATTGACTCTGTTTGGGACTGGACAATGGGATTGAGGCATAGGATAAGACCAAAGGTCATCCTGAAGCCTTCGACACAATTGGGGGTCCTTCCCTATTGTTCCATCACATTTTGTTGGTGGAATGGTACTTTTAAGACAGGCCAACAGGGAGACTTGCAGACTTTAAAAGGCTGACCAGGTTTACCTGGCATAGGCTTTTGTGGACTGAACCTTCATTCCCTGGAAGCCTCCAATTTACCTCCTAAATCAGCATGGTTAAACCAATCACAGATATTTGCACCTTTTGCATTTCTAACCCCTTTGCATCCAGCCCTCACTCCAGCCTCTGTATCACGATCTGCCAACCGAGGCAATGCTCCATGTATGTCAGGAAATGGGCTGCCACCCACTAAAGCGTGTGCCAAATAAAACCTTTTAGTCTTTCAGGTGCCTCTGGACTCTTTGAAGTTGTTTTCGTTGCAACAGACTAACTGAGCTAAACTCCATCACCGGAAATGTAAAAAGAAAAAGAAACTCTGTTACTGTTCAAGTTCAAAGCCTTCTTGCACTCCTACCTCATTAATAACCATTAATATACTATTATAATTTCTTCAGAAGTAATTCTATTTTTTTCCCCTCATAAGCAACTAGTATGGTTACTTTCCGGTCCTTTAAACTTACCTTTCACTAAACTGTATTCATATAATTACAGAATCTTAGTGGTGGAAGAAGTCACAAGAGGTCATGTAGTCCAACCCTTGCCATGGAAGAAGACATAACTAAAGCACTCCTGAAAAATGCCCAGCAACGTTGGTTGAAAGACCTCCAAAGATGGATAGTCCATCACCCTCCAAGGCAATCTATTCTACTGTCAAACAGCTCTTACGCTCCAGGTTCTTCCTAATGTTCAGGTAGAATCTCTTTTCTTTGCAATAGTTTGCATCCATTGCTCCAGTCTTTGGAGCAGCAAAAAACAAGCTCTTTGTTCCTTCTACATGACACCCTTCCAGATATTTAGAGATGTCCACCATCTCATCTCTCAGTCTTCTCTTTTCCAAGCTAAACATACCCAACCTACTCAGCTGTTCCTCACTGGACTCGGTTTCCAGACATTTGACCATCTTGGTCACCCTTTTTGAAACACACTCCAGCTTGGCATGTTGTTGTTGTTCTTGTTGTATGCTTTCGAGTCGTTTCCGACTCATGGCAACCCTAACGCAAACCTATCATGTGGTTTCAAAGGAGGTTTGCCATTGCATTCCCCTGAGGCTGAGAGCATGTGACTTGCCCAAGGTCAACCAGTGGCTTTCATGGCTGAGCCAGGAATCGAACCCTGGTCTCCAGAATCATAGTCCAACACTCAAACCACTAAGGCTCTCTCCAGCTTGGCATTATACCTTTGTTACTCAGGATGCAAGTGGCTTGCGAGTTACTAGCTATTAGTAATTGCTAGGATTATTTGTAATAACTAGTATTATTTCCAAACCCTAGGCTTTGAGTAAACAAGGCAACATTTTAATTTAGAAACGGTTGCCCTAAGACAACTGCATGCCGCGTACAGCTCGACAACGAAGCATGCAAAAGCCATTTGATCTTACACTTTGGGGATACCACTAAGAGTACCCCAATACACTGGGCTGTATTCGAGGAACCACTAGAGCCTG